GTTGCCCAGATGGCTCTCAAGCTCTAGATCCAAGCAATCCTCCTGCCTCAGCCTCCCAAGATGCTGGAATAGGCATGAGCCAATATACCTGGCCTACTTTTTTTCTTTCTTAATTGCACCAGCTAAAACAACTAGTACAGTGTTGAAGAGAAGTGAATCAAGCATATTTGTCTTCTAAACCAACTGAAAAAGTTGACATGAAGGACTACTTCCTAACTCCTGATTTGAAGCCAGTTATTACCCTGATTCCAAAACCAGAAAAAAGCATTATAGGAAAAGAAAAGTACAGATGGATATCACTCACAGTCATAGACACAAAAACTCTAAGCACAATGTTAACAGAATAAATTGAGCAGTATTTAAAATTTCATCATAATAAGGAGGGGTTTATCTCAGGACTACAAAGCTAGTTTAAAATTCAAGCATCAACATAATCCATTAATACAGTCTTAAAAACCTATATGATAAGGTCAATATATGTGGGAATAAAATATTTGGCAAATCCAACATCCATTCCTAATGAATTCCCTATAAACAAAGAAGAGAATTTCCTCACCACGACAGGCCTCATACAGAACAGTGCAGTTCTAGCCTTGTTCATTCTTCGTATCTGCTGCTTTTTATTCTCTGACCTGTATCTCCAACTCCTCCCTTCCTGCTCTCTGCCCTGGTACCAGTGTTTCATTCTCTCTCCCTCTCTGCATATTTGACATTTTTTTCTTCCATATATAAATGGGATCATGCAACATTTTTTCTTTCCATGTCTGGCTTATTTGACTTAGAACAATGTCCCCTAGGCTCCTCCATGTTCTGACAAATGGTAAGATCTTGTTCTTTTTATAGGGCTGAATAATACTCCATTGTATACATTAGTACATTGTCTTTATCCATTCATGTATTAACAGACATTTAGAGTTGTCTTCACATTTTGATTATCTGATTGAATTTGCTGTGTGTATTTGCCCAGACGTGGAGTCGCTGGGAAACATAGGACTATTATTAATTCCTTTAGAAACTTCCCTACTGTTTTCAATAATGGCTATCCCAAACTATACCCACCAACAGTGTATAAGGGTTCTCATTTCTCCATATCCCTGCCAACATGAGTTATCTTTGACTTTTGATAACAGACACCTTAACAGGTGTGAGATGGTATCTCTCAGTGATTTCGACTCACATTTTCGGGATGATTAATAATGTTGAGCACCTTTTCATAGACCCACCCACTGGGCATTTTTATGTCTGCTTTGGAGGGATGCTTATTCAGGTCCTCGGTTCATTTTTTAATGGGGTTATTTGTTTTTACACTATTGAGTTGTAGGAGTTCTTTATAAATTTTGGATATTAATTCTTTATCAGATACATGGTTTGCAAATATTTTTCCTAATGAATATGCTGTAGTTTCATTTTCTTTATTATTTCCTTTGTTGATAAGCTTTTTAGTTTGATGTAGTCCATTTAATTTTGCTTTTGTGGCTTGAGTTCTATAATTTCCAAAAAAACATTGCCAAGGCCAGAAGTTTTCCCTCTATGTTGTTTTCTAACAATTTTATAGTTCTGATTTTGATATTTAGGTTTTTTTATCCATTTTGAGTTGATTTTTGTGTATGAAGTAAAAATAAGGATCCATTTTCATTCTTTTCCATGTAGAATCCAGTTTTCATAACACAATTTATCAGAGAGGCTATTCTTTCCCCCTTTGTGTCCTCTCATCAAAAATTAGTTGACTGCATATGTTTGTATTTATTTCCATGTCAAGACTCATTATAAATCTATAGTCACCAAAACAGTGTGATATTGGCACAAAGACAGACAAAAGGATTAATAGAAAAGAATAAGAGTCCAAACACAGACTTACCCATATATATAGAAAATGAATTTTATGTAGAGGTAAAAAGTCAGGGAAAAAAGGATAGTAATTTAGACAAGTAATGCTGAAATAACTGGATATTAATATGCTGAAAATATGGACTTCAAACCATTCCTCACGACATCCTCAAAAACTAACACAAGATGAATCATAGACTGAGATATACACTCCACAATTACAAACCTTCTTGTTTACTTGTTTAGAAGTAAACATAAGAGAAAATCTTTGCGACCCTGAGTTTCACAAATGTTTCTTAGATACATCATCAAAGCACAATATATAAACAAAATTGATGAGTTAGGGCGGTGCCTGTGGCTCAAAGGAGTAGGGTGCTGGCCCCATATACCAGAGGTGGTGGGTTGAAACCCGGCTCCCGGGGGGGGGGGTGTGGAATTGACAAGTTAGACTTCACTGAAAATTAAAAATTCGTGCTCTTCCAAAGACGACTATTAAGAGGATGAAAAGGCAAGACACAGCCTGAGAGGAAAAGGACTGGTATACAGAATATGTGAAGAACTCAGACTAAATTATAAGAAAACAAAGACCCTAACTTAAAAAATAGGCAAGTGACACTTGACCAAAGGTAACTCATGAATGCCAAACAAGCACATGAAAAAATGCTGCATTTCATCAGGTAGTAGGAAAGGCAAATTAAAATCACAGTAAGGTACAGAAATGTTGAAAAGGCTAAAGACTTACCAGATCAAGTGCTAAGGAGGATGTGGAAGAACCAGAACTATCCCAAATTGCTTTGGGGAATGTAAATGAGGACAATTGTTCTGGAAAGTAGTTTGGTGGCACCTTGAAAATCTAAACATGCAAATACCCTGTGCTCCATTCATTCTGCTGCTAGGCAGCTTCCCAGGAAAATGAAAGCAAATGTCCATACAAACACTTGTACATGAAGGTTCACAGCCACTTCAAACTGGAAATAATCCAAAATCTATCAACAGCTGAATGGCTAAACTATGGTATATTCATAAAATGGAATTCTACTCAGATTGATACACATCACCATTATAACATGGCTTGATCTCCAAATAATCACGTGCAAAGATACAAAGTAGAGTCCTCACTGCACGATTCCGTTTATATAAACTTCTAAGAGATGTCAACCACAGATTGTGACAGAGAGCAGGGAAGTGGTTCACTGGGACAGGAGGCAGAAAAGGTAGGAAGAAGGGATTACAGAGACGCATGAGAGAATCTGAGGGTGACAGGTGTATTCATTATCTTGATCATGATGATGGTTTCACAGTACAAAAAAAGTCAATTCATATATGCTTTATACATGTGACAGTTATTGAACATCAATTACATAGCAATAAAGTTTTTTTTTTGTTTGTTTGCAGTTTTTGGCTGTGGCTGGGTTTGAACCCGCCACCTCTGGCATATGGGGCCAGCGCCTTACTCCTTTGAGCCACAGATGCTGCCCTATCAATAAATTTTTTTTAAGAAAGATAAGGAATCATAAAATAAGGTAATTAAAAATTAGGTGTTTGGCAGACATTTTCTCAAAAATGAATGAAGTGAGCTTGACTCCTCAAAAAAAAAAAAAAATCAATTTTTGTTGCCAGTGATAAAATCTGAGCTTTCAAATGAAAAAAAATTTTTTGAGGGGGCAATTAAGTGCAGATGGTTAAGGGATACAAAAATACAGATAGAATGAACAACATTTGACAGCTTAAGAATGTGACCATAATCAATAGTCAGTCAATGTAGGCTGGGCACGGATTACAGGCTCACACCTGTAATCCCAGCACTCTGGGAAGCCAAGGAGGGTAGACAGCAGACCAGCCTGAGCCAGAGTGAAAGCTCATCTTCCAAAAAAAATATATATATATATATATATAATAATATATTTATTTAGTTTAAGAGACAGAGTCTCACTTTATTGCTTTCGGTAGAGTACCATGGCAGTGTCACACAGCTCACAGCAACCTGCAACTCCTGGGCTTAGGTGAGTCTCTTGCCTCAGCCTCCCAAGTAGCTGGAACTACAGGTGTTTACCACAATGCCCAGCTATTTTTTTGTTGTGGTTTGGCTGGGCCCAGGTTTGAACCCACCACCCTCGGTATATGGGGCTGGTGCCCTACTCACTGAGCCACAGGCGCCACCCTATACATATAAATAGACACACACACACAACAGTGCACTGAACACAGATCATGCTATCTTGATGAGGATGAAGATGATGATTTAGGTGTCCTGCACAGATGGTAATATCAAGAAATATTTCCACAGTAAGCAAAGTAATGTCATAAAACTGGACCAACTGTCCTAAATAGTGGAAGAATTCCATAGATAGTATTTAATGAATAATCCACAATAGCAGGTTTGCTTAACATGTTTTAATTAAAGTTAGAAACATTTTTCATATTCCTTTAAATTTCTTTAAAATGACTACATAAGTGGTAAAGATAAAACAAATTCCCTTCAGTCGTTAAATATTATATTTGTAACCCCTTAAGATCTAGTTTTACTTCTGAGTGTATTTTCTACAACAGGACAATGAACAATTATAAAAACAAAACCTTACAAACATACTATATCAGTTAGAGGCTGTCCCTGTCTGTTATTAAAAGTTGGTAACACAAAGACCTGGAGGTATTTGGAGGTCACCAAAAAATAATGCTGGCATGTGTTGCTAGACAGACTGCCTTCACGTCTGTCCACTTATGAAAGAAGTTCATAATTCAGAAGAGACCCAAAGCACCATGACATTACTACACATCACCGCCAAAGAGGACGTGTAGAGATGTGCCTGAAATACGATCCCCGATGAACTAAAGGTAAGATGGTACCACCAATGTTATGAAGTCAACTAACCATACTGACCTTTTCTAAATAGCTTTTCACACATAAACACCACACATAACTGAATGCCATGTGTAAAGTACTCTATAGTAAACCCATCTCTTAAAAAATTTTGGCTGACATTTTCTACAAAACAGCAGTGTTATAACCTATAAAATATTGAGCATATGTATTATACAAGCTCTTTGTTATAAGGGAAAATGTTAAATAAAATCCTTGGAAACTTTACAAGGAAAAATCAGAGACTGAACATATAAAAGCAATAAAACATGACATTAAAATGCCATCAAGCAAAATTCTCAAATCACATTACCTGAAACCAGTTCCATAATGATGTAGACAGGCTGTCTTTGTGTGCAAACGCCAATAAGTTTGACAATATTGGGATGATCATATTGCTTGAGAATTCTAGATGAGAGGAAAGTATAAGAATAGTCATGATTTGAATAGTAAATAAGGCATTAATTTATGGTCATGACTAGTGGTCTAAAAGGAGAATACACTTTAATCATAATTCTAATTGTATAATTTCCATATGACCCTAAATTATGATAAGTGAGCTCAATACACTGAGTACAGTCATCCTTCAGAATCTGTGAGGAATTAGTTCTAGGACCCCGTGGACACTAAAACTCTATGGATGCTCATTATCTCTTATAAAAAACAGCACAGTGCTTGCATATAACCTACGCAGATCTTCGTGTGTAATTTGAATTATCTCTAGATGACCTAAACTATGTACATGCTGTGTAAACAGTTGTTACACTGTATTATTCAGGAATTAACAACAAGAAAAGAAAGTCTGAACATATTCAGTACAAATGCAATATCTGTTTTTTTTCCTGAATATTTTTGATCTGTGGTTATTGGAATCCATGGATACAGAACCCAGGGATACAAAGGGCTGACTGTTGATAAATACTGCCAGTGTAACGGGTGCAAATGAGTCAGTTCTCCTCAATTCAACTGAATATTAATTCAAAAATTATCTGCTCTAAATTATTAACAACCAAGCTAAGTAGGAATAACTAGTCTAAAACATGCATAGAACTCTCATCAAAGTATTATAAATGGTTTTAGCTATAATCACAGAAGCATAGCTACAAAGTATTAGTGGACCAAAAACTAAGGTGCTAACGTAGCACTTTTTTTCATGCATATACTTTGATCTTATAACACTTAAAACTAAGAAATCATCTCATACTAGTAAATTTGTGGAATTAAAACTCTTTCTTAATGATCATGATCAATTTCAAAATGGTAGAAAATTTTAAGAAATTTGCAGAAGGAAAAAATATAATAATTGAGTAATGGTTTCAACATATAGACTTAAGACAAAGCAGAGTAGACTCACTCCGGATAAGATAAAATTTCACCAGAGGGCTATAAATACGGAATAGATAGACTCAGCCATAGGATGCCAAGCATGAGATAAAAATAGATTAGATTTGCTCAGAGGCTTGTCTGCACTGATTATTTCCATTACCAAATTTTAGTCCTTATTATACTACTAATATAGTGATAAATTCACTCATATTTGAAAATTGCCATATTTGTTCCTAAGAGAATGAAAAAATTTACCTTGTTTGGAGGAAAATAATTAGTATTTTGTACATATACAACTAAAGGAAGGATAGCACTAAGAATAATGTTCTAGGTAGAAAATATAACAACTTAAAAATGAAAATACAGAGTGGAAAAATTCAAAGATAAAGGAAACATTCTGTCAATAACTTTGACCCTGAATATAATTTTCATTTTTAAGATGAAACTCCATAATCTACTTTACAAAATGCAATTACACTCTTTGGTTTGCAATAAAACAATCATAAGATAGAAAACAAGAAATTTAAGTATCAAAAAAATAATGGACATAGATTTTTACCTTAGGAATATCTATGACTAAGTATAAAATAATAAGGCTATGAATTTCAACTGTATAGCATATCTTTTAATTTATTGTTAGAATTTTTTTCTGAATTGCCAATAATGGACATGGAAATGGTTTACAATGTTATTCTATAGATAATATTATTAAGTGCATCAAACTAGATTTATCCATTACCATCAATATTCATTTGATGAATGGAGAAATTTCCATCAAAATGTTCCATGCTGTGGGATTTATAAGTAGTTCTTTCACTGCCGTGGCGCTGTCTCCCACGGCACTGTCCCTTTACGCCCCAAATCCATGAATCCAGGTATCCTCCTCCTTCTCTCCCATCCATTCATTCATCTGTCCATCAATTCATCCACCCATGTGTCCATTCAGCTTACTCTAAGTACCAATCTATTTGTTTTATTTTTTTTGTATATACTCAATTTTACACTTACAGTTCTGTAATAGTAGTACTTACAGTTTTGTAAGTCCTAAAATTGAACAACAAAACATAAAACAAATAGAACTCTTGACATAGCATTTACATTGTTCAGGTAATCTAGAAATGATTTAAAGTAATCTAGAGATGGTTGTAACTACAACACAGGCGTATCAAGGCAAAAGATTAAATTTTAGCTAAAAATAGAAAAAAGAGAAGGTAACTATCTTAAAAAATCAGTCAGAGAAAAAACAATATGCAAATTTTGTAACAAAATAAAAGGTGTAAACAAATTTTGTAACTTTGAGATTCTCAGAAAAGAAAGCTAACAGCTGGGAAAACAGAAATCAAGCCATAATATCTCAGGAGGATAGAAATAATTACATATTTAAATGCATATATTTTACATACACCATTCTGACAATTAAGTTCCCAAACTCATTCTAGAAAAAAAGCTGCATACCTCATTGCTGAATATTACTAAGGTCACCTTCAAATTACTCCCCTTGGGGAGCTGGACACTGACATCAATGCTTAGTTGAACTTTCAAAGCAAATTTTCTAGGATAAGTTCTCAAACTTAATTGTCAGACCTGGTAGGACGACACTCTGATGGACATTTCAGAAAAAAGAGTTCCAAAACTGCTGGAACCAGGTGAACCTGGTGGACTAGGTGCTGGCAGTGGTGATGTGAACGTGGTGATTCAGCAATGAGGTATGGAGCACTTCTAGGATGAGTTTGTAGACTTAACTGCTGACCTTGTATGTAATATACTGATATTTTTAATATAAAGACAGCGTATTTCCCATATACGTATGTGTACATGCCTGTGTGACAGAAGCAAACTACTGCCATGTTATAAGGGGTAAAGAATACTTAGTGATTTTTACACCTGGTTCCTTGAGATCATCTGAGTGTTTACTTACGAGGGTTCTCAAAGTGCTTACTTCTACTTCAGCAAATCACAATTTAGGATGTCTTCAAACCTACATTTTAATGAACCATTTACATTATAAATACATATTCTGTATTACTTTAGAAAACTTACTTGGCTTCCTGTAAGAATTTTATTTTCAGTTCCTGAGGAAGATCTTCTTTACACGTTTTAACAGCAACAAGAGTTTTATCCTTTAATGTGCCCTTATATACTTCACCAAAATTTCCCTGCAAATACAAATACATTCATTGTTTGAGGTACACAACAGCACGTAAATCTTTGCCAAATACAAGGAAAGCACACAATGAAGGGTTCTGAGTTAAGCAAAGCACCCTGTCAGCTTTATTTGAATTCTGAGTGGAAATAAAGATCAGTAATGTGGCTTCTGTCAGTTCTCCAACTTCATAAATACACAACACAATAACCATGTGGAGGCGTGAAGCTACAGGAGAATTGACAAGGAAAAAAATGAAAGGGGAAAAATCAGAGAAACACAAATTGAGGCTCACAGAAGTAAGTTTCATTCCATCTAGCTCTTTACTCTCAAAGCTCACTCTCTCGCACTCTGTGTGTGTCTGTGTGTGTGTGTGGGGGGTATATATATGTATTTTTTTTTTTTTTTTTTAAAAGAGTCTTAAACTGTCACCCTGGGTACAGTGCTGTGGCATCACAGCTCACAACAACCTCCAACTCTTGGGCTCAAGCAATTCTCCTGCCTCAGCCTCCCAAGCAGCTGGGACCACAGGCACCCGCCACAACACCTGCCTATGTTGTTGTTGTTGTTGTTGTTTGTTTGTTTAGCAGGTGCAGGCCAGTTTCAAACCCGCCAGCCTCCTTGTATGTGGCTGGCGCCCTACCCACTGAGCTACAGGCGCCACCCAAAGCTCTATATTTTATTATATTAAAAATTATCCATTAATGTTTCAAAATGAAGCAAAGATTCTGAAGGATAAATGCTAGTCTTGCTCCACACAACCATATTCAGTTGGAGAAGAAAGTGAGAGTCCAGGAAAGGCAACAGAATGAAGGCAGATTAGGGGCTGTCAATGGCCATGATTGTGGGTTGTCAACATCTGAAAGGCACTAAGGAGGAGGACTTACACAAATGTCAGTGTCACCTGTGATGAGCTAATTTCTACCAAATATATGAACATCAAACATTATATAGCTAGGAACTATTTTGATACAAAATGCCTTACTTAGACTGTACTTATTCAAGAAGTGATGAAACTTTGAAGTCAATTTATTTTTCTTTTATTGTTAAGTACAAAGCAAAATGTTACAGAGAAGATCACACCAGCACCACAGCTATTTTGGAATATTTCTTTAAGACTGCCTATGTATGCTTATGTATTTTTTACATAGCTATGTGTATAACCATCATAACAAACTATAATGTTATCTTTGTTAAGCAAGAAGTCTTTGAACTAGGACTTTGCTTTATTGCATTTTAGAGGTCTAAATGAATATAACTCTTAACTTACAAAATTTACAAGTTAAAATTTACACCTTGAACTACTGATTATTAATATAATTTAAAATTATTGTATAGGCATTTAAAGGCATTTAAAATTTTTAACAAGAGTCCTGTATTCAATTTTCACTATTTAATCAAATATTCAACTCTTGATATTTATAAAATAATCATTTTTTCCATGAAAAGTAAACATACTTTGAATTCTCAACATAGTAAACATTCATCATAACTTAGAAAATGGAAAAATTTGAGCTTCACATCTGTTATTCTCCAGAGCTCCCCCACAATTGTCAGATTACATCAGAGATAGAACTGAGAGATATTAATAGACACAATTACTGCCAAACCTCTGCTTACCTGAATGATTGATTCTAAAGCACTTGTAATTTAGCTTGTCTAAAATTCATCACTTTGCCCATCAACAGATTCTTACTGGCTAACTGACTTTTTTCAGTTACTAGGACCATCGTTTTCCCTGTAAGCATTCAGACTTTCACCTCCACATCTTCCTCCTTGCATCTCTGAGGCGTAACCCTGACTCAGGACCTCAATTTTTCTCACCTAAACTCATCTTATCTTTATTCCCGCATTCGTCTAACACATTCACTGGCGCACTAGCAGATTAATCCTGCCTAGAGAAAACTTCACCAGGAAGCTAACGTGGCTGGAGAAAGACCAAAACAACACCGACTGTTTTTACTTTACATTCAGGAACACAAATGTTTAAGGGGCCCTTAATACTGCTCAATAATGTTATTGCATTTCTGGACCCTCCTATTACTCTGGATAGCTGTTTCCCCTGTACTCTCTTCCTAAATCTCTCCTCCTCATCCTTACCTGATGATCTTGCTTCCTACTTCACTGTGGGGAAAAAAAAGCGATCTGAAGAGAACTTCTGCACTCTCAGCCCATATTTACCTACCCACCAATCTCACTGTTATAAAAATGAATGACATATTGTACTTCTACTGAAGTTCATCGTCCAATGGGAGCAGAATCTCTCCCCCCGTACCTACACAGGGATCACTTTAGCAATTTACATCTTTCTCTCAAATCAGGAATGTTTCACTAGATCATTCTCCACTGCAAACCAACACAGTGTTTTCTCTCTCTCAGATTAATCAAATACAAAAAGCACAAAGCTTCCTTGTGAAGCTACTATGCTACACCTTTACTTCCTTTTGCAGCAGCCCTTCAAAGAGTTTCATCATTACAATCTCTGTTTCTTTCCTTCCTATTCTCTCTTAAGCCCATTCCGACCCATCTTTTGTATAAAACATTGCAAGGAACTACTCAGCCAAGTCACCAGTGATCTTTACATTGCTAAAGCCAATGGTTAATTCTCAATCGTCATCTCATTTAACCTCTCAGCAGCATTTAACACACTGATCACTCTCTCTTCCTTGGTGGACTTTCTCCTCTTGTCTTCCAAGGCATCACACCTCATGGCTTCTGCCTTCTTAATACCTTGGTGTTTCTCAATCTCCTTTGAGGACTGCCTCTCTTTCCTCCAGCCCCTTAATGTTGGAATGGCCGTAGCTCAGACCTTGGTCTTCTTCTCTACCGAGAGACTCACTCTATTTTTGAAACCATCTAATCATATGGTTTTAAATAACATCTATATACCAACAACAGATTGGTACCAGATCTTGGGACCCAGATCTCTCTTCTAAACACCAGACTTGATATTCAACTGTTTTTATCTCCACCTGTAAGTCTAACAGAAAAATTAGATTCTAAAACTGAACACCTACTCTTGCTCCCTAAAACCTGTTACAATTACAAATTATGTTCCTCTTTCCCTGATGCCACACGTAGACAGACTCCATCCAGACTTTTGATTTGTTCAATTTCAAAAATACGTCAACTCACCACTTCTCACCACTTTCACTGCCATCATCCTAATCTGGCAACATCTTTAAGTCAGATAAGCGCAACTGCCTCGTAACTTGCCCATTCATCAGAATATTAGTAACACAACTTCCGCTTTGAGCGACCTTTTCAAAAAGCAAGATCATTCCACTCAAAACTGTCTTCCAACTTACTGTCTCACTAACAATCAAAACCAAAGTCATTACAATGACTTATAAGGTCCTATATGACCTATAACCTCAAAACCTCAAGCTTCCTCTCCTATCATATCTGGCCTTTCTCCACCAGTTATAACTAGGCTCCTCTGACCTTTAAACAAATTTTGCATTAGCCAAGAACCCTCTTCATTCAGATGTCCACATGGCTAAATTCCCCACTTCCTCAGGTCCTTATTCAAAAGTAAAATATGGCTTACCTGGATTTCCTATCAAAAACTATAACTCCAACTAATAGCACTTCCAACCCTTTAACATTTTTTAAAGAATTTGGCATCCTCTAACACTGTAAAATTTACCTATTTATTATTGTGTCCTCCCCTACCATACAGAATGTTAGCTTTACAAGGGAAAGGATGGATATTTTTGTCTGCTTGTTCACTGACACCATGAGACGCACCTACTTGAGTGCCTACTACATAGTAGGCAATCAAAAAATAAACACTGGATAACCAAATGAAATACCTATTGGATAACAACTGTATATCAGGTAGAGTCTATTAAGAATATAATGCTGAATTAAAAAAAAAACTAGGTCAGATGTGATAGTGCATGCCTGTAATCCCAACACTTTGGGAAAGCCAGGTAGGAAGATCGCCTGGGGCCAAGAGTTCAAGACCACACTGGACAACACAGTCAGACCTGTCTCTATAAAAAGTTTTAAAAAAAATTATCCAGGCAAGGTGCCATGTGCCTGTAGTTCCAGCTAGTTGGGAGGCTGAGGTGGGAAGATTCCTTGAACCTAGAAGGTCAAAGCTACAGTGAGCTCTAGTCCTAACACTGCATTACAGCATTGGTGACAAAGCATGACCCTCTCTCTTAACAAAAACAAAAATAATTTAGAATTCCTGACATTACCTTATAACTCTAAATTCAGTAAGGATAGGGACCATGGCTAAATCTCTTTTAATTACTCATATACTCTAAAGCTGGAAATATTCATTCGAAAGAGGAAGTAAAATACATTAAATGACAAATCATTTTCCAAAATAAAAAATTAAGCCACATAGTGTCCCTTAAAGCCATAATCTTTTATCTAAAATGATTAAATTTACTGACACTGACAGGCTACTTGTCGTTGAGAAAATAATAATTTTTTGAAATAGCCTCTGTGAATTTCTCCTGATAAGTCATACTTCACAAAGTAAATTAAACATAATGATTGAAATATTTCCCTTTAACTGAAAATATTATCTATTTAAGTACTAAAAAATCTATCCTTCAACATATTTTATTTCAGCATGTGATACAGTTTTGTAATTTATTACTTAATTGTATTAGCATGGAAATTAATTGCTTTGTTGTAACTATAGACTCAATTACTGCTATTAGGATACTGACTTCGAGTAATGAAAAGAAGAAATATTTCCTTAAAATTGAGAAGAGCACCGCAAAATAAACAAATACATCACTCACTGCTTTTACCTTGAGGCTCTGCAGAATTTGCCCACTAAATAAGCCAATAAAAATTTGTTTTCCAATAGCAATTTGATGCTTCCATTTAGAAAAGATATTTAAAAATAATAAATGATAAGAATCCTGAAAAGTAGATTATTTCAACAAAGATTTACTTTCTCAATAGAGATTAAAAAATAGAGAAAAAGTTAATTCATCAAGTTTATAGATGACTCAGGAGAGTAATAAATAATCATTTATTTCTTTATCTAAAAAGCTGAACCTTAATTAGGTCTAGCTTTGATCACTCATAAATTTATATTAGTTTTTTCTGAATGTAGGAATTTTACACTATTTGTCACCATAAAGCTAAACTTAATTCTGGTTTTCATATGGAAACATGATTAAATAAGTGATTGACAAAACTATAATATTTAGTCACTGAAACTCAATTATAAATTAAAAATTTTTCAAATAATCTATTTAATTGACAATTGTCTGCCATTGTTGTCAGATACAGCGTACTTTCATATGGCCTTTGAGTTGGAAGCAACTTCCAGTTAGATTGCAAGAGAGGCTTTAATTACATATATTTACCTTCTCTGACAACTAATAAAGCTAGTTACAAAATGAAGATATTGAAACACGTATTCTGGCCTCATTTTTAGATTGAAATACGTGTCTGGTGTTATTACAAATTGTAATTCTGTACAGAATCCTAAAATTGCAAGGAGCAGTATTTCATTTTTTCTAAACTATCACACATAATCAGAAACAAATACAGCAACACTATCAGGTATTTACTTAGACTTTTATTACGTTGCAGTTTCTTTTCAAATCTCAGCCCACTAGTCTGGGGCTACTGTGCTATAATGGCTTTTAGTTCCTCCAGGGTAAAACATACATATACTATTTTAAACTGTTAAGAATTATCCTGAAATCTTTCAAAGATTTTCACACAACTATTTCAGTTAAGATCATAGTATTTATAACAGATGCAGTATTATATTTTTACAGGTATGCGTAATCTGCCTTGCTACATGCTGGCATATGAGAAAAGCTTTGAAGAAAATGAAAATATCTGAGAAAGTCTCAATCAATACAGCGACTGTTAGTTATTTTTGCTCAGTTGATTACATACCTTGCCTAGTAATTCTCCCAATGTGACATCTTCATGATTGAGAATCCATTTCTTATCCTACACCAAAGAAAAAGAACAGTTATTTAGTATAAGCAAGAATACTCTTCCTGTAAGTTGCATTTAAGGCAGTGGGAATCAGACCTAAAGAGATATTTCACTCACACCACTCAACCAATAGCACACTAAGAAGTTATAAACTCAAGATGCTGCAAAACAAGTTCAAGAAATGTTACTACAAACAGGATATTAAAATCTACATTACAGCAAACTTTTATCAGAAATCTCAGCATTCAAAAATAGTATTACCATAACCAGAATACAGTATGCACTTTATACATATCGTAAAGCTTATGCTATGTTATTATTTGTCATTTCAAAAATAGTTTTATCATCTTTTCATGAAGGTTTCTTTATACAATGCAAAATTTTTTATTCTCACTTGATCTTAGAGAATTATTTTTCTACTCAAATTATATTACCTAAAGCTAGTTGTTTAATTAGCAACTGGACTGACTGACAGCTGTCTATGATTCTAAATGTAGCCCCACATCTTTTCTAGGTAATTTTCTCTGGTATAATAAAGTAACAAATATGAATTACAATATCAGTAAGGTACACAAGGCCAGTGATGGAAACATGCTATTACAAAGGAGTATCCCGTTATCTAGTCTCAAAAACCAATTACTACTTAGGGGATATTTTATCATCTAAAAACAACTCAACTATTAAACCATATAGTACAATAACAGTAACAGAAAAGTTAAATGGAGAAAGAAAAAAAGGAACAAGGTAGAAAAAAGGAGGGAGAGAGAGAAGAAAGGGGAAAAGACAGGGAAGAATAAAAGGAGAAAAACAGTAAGAAGAAGGAGGAGGAGGAGGAATCAGATCCTGGAGTAGTAGATTTTATTCACGATTTAGGGTTTTATTAATTTACAATGTAGTTTTCCCCCATGACAAAGACATATTGAAATGTAATTATGAATTACAGTATGACTTTCAAGTAATCAGACATCTTGAAAATCCACCTTAACTATGGACAATACTGGATTGTTAAAAATATAATAGTTTACATGTATACATATAGTCTTTCCATCTAAATAGAAAGTGAAAGCTATAAAGGTTCTGGAAGAAAACATCAGAGAATATCTTCACAACCAAATAAGTAAGCAAAGATTTCTTTAGACAGGTACAAAAGCATTAATTATAAAAGAATGAAATGAAGGGCGATGCCTGTGGCTCAGTGAGGAGGGCACTGGCCCCACATTCTGAGGGTGGCAGGTTTGAACTTGGTCCTGGCCGAACTGCAACAAAGAAAAAATAGCTGGGTGTTGTGGTGGGCACTGGTAGTCCCAGCTACTCGGGAGGCTGAGGCAGGAGAATAGCCTAAGCCCAAATCCCTGGAGGTTGCTATGAGCTGCGATGCCACAGCACTCTACTGAGGGTGACAAAGTGAGACTCTGTCTCTTAAAAAAAAAAAAAAAAATGAATGAAATGACAATTGGACTTCCTAAAAAAATTTTGTTCTTCCAAATGCATCATTTTAAAAGTGAATAGACAAACTGCAACCTGGGAGAGCATTTTTACAATAGTGTATTTTTGGTTAAAAACATAATACCAAGAACATACAGAGAACTCATACCTAAATAAGAAAAATGACCTATATTCAGGAAATGATGTAAAATAAACATAACAAAGTAAGATGGACAGACAGCAAGCACAGCAGAAGGTGCCTAACATCTTTAGTCGTCAGAGCCATACAGACCACAGTGATACGGCATTGCGCCTCCATCAGCGTAGTGCAAACGATTAGATACCATGCGGCTGTGAAGGGTCAGCAACTGCAGCCCCACATGTTACTGGAGAGAATGATACAGCCATCTTGGAAATGACCAAGCATGTGCTCATAACCTGAATCAATGTCATGCAGTTTTATTCCACACAGGCAGTCCTGGGGTTTCAAACAAGACAGGCTTGTTCTTAAGTTGAATTTCTATGTAGGGTGGAACAGGCACATTTACCTATTACCTGTAATACCCCTACTCACAAGTGCGAATCACATGTTCGCTGGATGTCTGTGGCCTAGGGCCTGCCTGTACATTCAGCCACAAGACATGATCGCTGAATGTTATAGTGACAAAAAGCCAATTCATGTCAAAGTAGAACCACCCTCCAGGTAAAAAACTTCACAGGTCTCAAGTCACATTTAGATCTATGACTATTACATCAAATATAAAATAGATTCCAAAGTGGTTTTTGGTTGAATTATAGAATTAGCAGATCACCACAGAAAGCAGCTCTGAGAATTGACTTATCTCAACAAAAGAACATACATGGGTTTGAGTCAACCTGGGCTGGGAGATATAAGAATACCACCTAAGGCACACCTTGCATAATCTTCAGCAACACACCTCCTCCCAACCATTTCTATGGCAATAAGATTGATTTCAGCTTCTCACCTCTCAGAATTTGAAACTATTCTCTAACTCTCTAATTGTCCACATCCCAAGCAGAAGCCACTACTGGAAGTATAGCTCATGATTTTTCCCATGGGTAGTTTTAAGTAGAATTTTAAAAAATGGTTGCCATGGCAACATTTCTCAGTCATGGGTATAGTATGTATCAAGTTTACTTGTATTCTTGTCCTGAATATCTTTCAGCCTTCATAATTGGGCTAGAAAATACCGTAGAATACAAACTACCCCTTAAATACGGAAACAAATTTGCTTAAATTTCAAAAGTAGCACCAGTGATATACACTTTAACAAAAAGCAGCAATGGACAATTCTAATTTAAAAGTAAGCTAAAGAATGAGATATATTTAGTGTTAATTAATAGATACTACATATTAGCAAATTTAAATACAAAAGAGACTTTCTGTTGTTCAAACAATGAGTTTCTCAGGCACCCCAGCCCAGTACCATCTGTAAAACCTTCCCACTCTCTTGGACTCCTTTAACTCTGAGTAATTGTCTAAGTGAGGCGTACCATCCCTCACTGAAGCTCCAGCATGCACTTCTCGGACTCTACTGGATGAAAAGGACCAGAGAAACTGGAACTGAAAAGGACTGCAGAGATATCAAACCCAATCTCTTTCCCTGACGGTTATCATCTATCCAGCTAGTCGTCTTCTCATTCCACAAACCTTTACTAAACACCGCTACTCACAGTTGAGAATCATGACTTTAGACAACTGGGGGAAAAAAGTCACTAAAATATCCAGTGATGAGGAACACACTACTTTATCAACAAAGCTAAGGTAAGTTGAACAACTATAATTCTTACAAATCCTTTTATCATAATTACCTTCTATAAGTTGGTTCTAGTACCAGAAACACAAAGGATACATCCTTTCTGTCTACTATGTAACTGCTGATCATCTGTTTGAAGACAAAAATTACATTCACTTTTGGGTACAATGAAGGGGAATATGGCATATGTGCTTATAACCCAAATAAATGTCATGCAGTTTTTATTCCATACAGGCAGTCCTGGGGTTACAAACAAGACAGGCTTGTTCTTAAGTTGACTTTGTATGTAGATTGGAACAGGCACATTTACCTATTACCTGTAATACCCCTACTCACAAGTGTGAGTCGCATGTCAGCTGGATGTCTGTGGCCTAGGGCCTGCCTGTACATTTAGCCACAAGACATGATCGCTGAATGTTATAGTAACAAAAAGCCAATTCATACATACATACAGTGGAAAGCCAGGTTTTCCTCTGTTAAATGTGTGGCATGTCTGCTGTCATTTTTCATGCAAAGTAATTTTGGTTGTTGGAAATTTTGCTTTAATTTCTGATTAATATGAGGGTACACACAATTAGACTTTGCTTTCAAATACAAAATTGTGGTCTAACTTGTAGCTATGTCTCTCATACACCTCACATTGTTCCCACTGGGAAGGAACCCACCAGCCTCCCTTCTTTCTTGGATTCAATCGAGGTCTTCCCTTATGCTAGCACATGATTGTTGTGAATCTAAAATCTTCAAAGTAGCACTGAGTACACTTTATTCAAGAGAGTGTTCTGCAAATTCATCCAAGTTGTAACAAAGGATACAAAATTTTTATCTTTTGGAGGGGGGCTGTTCTGGGTTAACATGAGAGTACAGAGAATTAAGTTCAATATTTGTACTTTTGAGGTAAAGTCCAGAGTCTGAATTGTACTTGAGTCCTTCACCCAGGAAGTGTGCCATATACCCCTACATTGTACCCAAAGTGGGGAACTTAACCAAAACTCCTCCCCCATTCCTTCTTCTTGAATTTAATTGCGTTTTTCTTCCCTGTAGGCTGGTAGTTGCGATACATCTTGAGATACTTGGGATGCTTGCTTTTTCACTCCTGAGATACTTAAGAAAATGTTCTCCAACTCCATCCAGGTAAATAAAAAAGATGCAAAATCTCCATCTTTTACAGCTGAATAGTATTCCACTATATACGAACACCATATTCTATTGATCCATTCATGGCTTCATGAGCACTTGGGTCATTTCTTCATGTTTGCAATTGTGAATTGAGCTGCTATAGACATTCTAGTGCAAATGTCCTTATGGTTAAATGATTTTTTTTTTCTTGTGGGATCACTAGTAATGGGATCAAATGGGAAGTTTACTTTTAGTTCTTTGAGGATTCTCCACACTTCTGTTCAAAAAGGCTATACTAGTTGGCAATACCACCAACTGTGTATCAGTGTACCCCTCTCCCCACACCCCCATCAGCACCTGTACCTTTGAGATCTTGTGATGTGGGCTATTCTCATTGGTATTAGGTGATATCTCAAAGTGGTTCTGATTTGCATTTCTATGATAATTAGAGATGATGAGCATTTTTTTCATGATTTTATTGGCCCTTCATCTGTCCTCATGAGAAAAGATTCTGTTCATATCTAATGCCCAGATTTTCACGAGGTTGTTTGCTATTGTTTTGTTGATTTGCTTGAGTTCTTTGTAAATTCTAGTTATTAACCCTTTGACAGATTCATAGTATGCAAATATCTTTTCCATTCTGAATGCTGTCTCTGGTTGGCTCTATTAGTCAACTTAATGGAGGTGGGCAGT